TCTACATTTTTTTCCCTTCTCTACAAATCAAGAGGGTGAGGCTAGTTGATCAGAAACAAAATGATGCTCTTTTTTCCCAAAGCTTTGGGAAATGTCGAGAAGGAAACATTTTTGTGGGTTGGTGGATTTTGTTTTTACACGGCCTGTGGAGTCGGCTTACCAGGCCTCCTGGAACACAGACAAATGCCGCTTGGAAATAGGAAACGAACACACTTCTAGCTATTTTGGAGACTGTCTCTAACCGACCACCCATGGCATAAACTTTGTGCCTCTCAACCCCAAACAGAGCATCACCATTCTTGAGTCCTGTGTTCTGAAAAGAAAATGAAACAGTCCAAACATCTGCCAGCTGGTAGGTAGATAAACAGAATGGACTTTCTCCATGTAATGGGATAATGCTCAGCAGTATAAGGAAACAAACTCTTCGCGCTCGCACACGGATGAACCTTGAAAACATGCTCAGCACTAGATGCCAGATGCAAAAGACCACACGCCACATGATTCCATTTGTAGGAAATGCCCAGAATAGGCAGACCTACAGGAGCAGTGGATTCGAGGTTGCCTGGGATGGGTTTGAGAACTGATCGCAGATGAGCACTTTTCAGGGTGATGGAAATATTCTAAAACTGGAATTTACTAAACTTACTAAAAATTATTGTACACTTGACTTTATAATGTACATTATTATACCTCAGTAAAGCTTTTTTGTTTGTTTCTAAAGGCTCACCATTGGGTTTTTCTTTAAAATGGGATTATTCATGATTGCTTTTCCTCTGGAAGCCTGTGACTGGGGCACAGAGGAGATGCGTGGGAAGGAGGGACAACTTCTTAGGCTTCTTGTAGGTGAAGGGCCCTGGGCTGAGTTCTGAGGAGGCTGCAGGTACAATGACCATATTTTCTGAACCAAAAAGGGAAGTACAGAGTTCGGGAGTGCCCCAGGTGCCTTGGACTTACTTTCTCATTTAATCCTCTGTTAATTCTCGTACCAGCCCCATGGGAAAGGTGCAGCACACATGTGCCCAGCGTAAAGAAGAAACAGAGGCTCAGAGTGGTTGAATCTTGCAAAAACTTTGAAGTCTGTAAAGGATGGACGATGAAGATTCAATTCCAGGTCTTTTTGGCTCTGACAGTCAGTGATCTTTCTAATAAGAATGCTTCCTCCTAAGAAAGAGTGTATTTATGGGAGCACTGGGCTCTTTCACAAATAAAAAGATGTTTCAGGGAATAATAGAACAGACAGTTATGAACAATAAATGACTTAACACCCATAGCAGACAGCGAATGTGGCATAGCCGGCTCTGTTCACCTGCCCGGCGTGGCACTGCTGGGTTATGAGGATGCTGACGTGGATGTGCCTGCTTTCTGCAGGGGACAACCCCTGAGTCCCTGGGTCTGCTCAGTTGTTCGTTCCTTCCTTCCTTTGTTTTTTCTCGTGTGGTTTTTTTTGTTTTTAATGTATTATGGAATGTCTAGAAGAAGAGTAAAGAATATTTATGTGCCCACGAGCTAGCTTAATACATAAAACATCTGGTGTGCTTTTATTTATTTTTTTAAATTAAAAAAATTTTATTGAGGTGTAGTCAGTTTACAATGTTGTGTCAGTTTCTGGAGTACAGCACAATGCCTCAGTCATACATGAACATACACATATTCATTTTCATAGTCTTTTTCACAGTAAGCTACTACAAGATATTGAATATACTGAGGTGTGCTTTTAAATTCACGACACATGATGGGTATGTAGGTAAGCTGAGTTACACCGCGTGGGGAGACTTGGCTTTGAGCTGGAAAAACCTAGATCCAAATCCCAGCTCTGGCATTTATTACCAAGAAGAGGTCACAAATGTTTCTGAGCCTTTGTTTCCCCTGCAGTAAAAGATGATAATACTCATTTCCAGGCGGTAGGGGCTGAATGAGATCGCGTGTGTCAAAAGCTTACCTAGATCCATACTAACAAGTAGTAGCTCTTGTTACTCTAAACTGGATAATCTGCCGGTAATTATAAAAGGCACAAAAATCTTACGCAGATCTCATCTATCTTGGTTATAGTTCTTTTTTCACCCTTCAAGGAATTCAGTTTTGAGGGGAAGTTGTTTCCCCAGGTTCCCTTGTAATGGGGCAGGACCCTGGGCGGCCCTCCCGGGACACACCCCTCCCCCATCCTGTGCTGCACTCCTGTCTGAAGTACCTAGATTATAGCCACCCAGAATGGCTGCCCTCATACTAAAGCACATTCTGGTGTCAGGGAGGAAAGAAGGCAGCCCCTGCACATTCACAGATGTTTATCAGGAGCTCTGTTCCTTGGAGTCTTGCAATAAAACTCCCTGCTACCCCTCCCCGGATCAGGCTTATAGTCTTGAGGCATTAGCCTGCTGTGACCCCCTTTGCCTGGCAAAGAAACAAAGCTGTTCTTTCTGCTTCACCCAGAATTCTGCCTCCAGATTTCAATTTGGTGTTGGGGCACAGAGGCCAGGATTCGATAACACCTTAACAGGTCCTCACCTGCCTGTCAGCTCTTGATTTTGTCCCTGCCTCCCGTCACTGTCCAGCTGAGTGACTGGGTTGTGTCACTTAATCCTCCATCTTCCCATGAGTCAAATGCCCATTTTAAAGAAAACGGGGGAGGGGGGAGGGTGTAGCTCAGTGGTAGAGCACATGCTTAGCAAATGAGCTCCTGGGTTCAATCCCCATTACCTCCATTTAAAAAAAATTCAATCCTCGGTACCTCCATTAAAAAAAAGATCACTCCCCCCAAAAAATACGGAGAGGTGGTTGATAACAAGTCCCCTCTCCTTTGAAAAAAAATTAAGAAAACTGAGGCTCAGAGAGGTTGAATTACAGAAACTCAGTCTATAAGCTGAATCAGTCCCTCCAAGCCTCACATTCTGTGACGATGTCCCTGTGAGAACATTTAGAAGCGGCAGCAGAGCAGGCCACAGGTGTGTTCTCCTGTGGTTTCCTTAGGGTGGAGGAGGAGGAGGTGGAGCTGAAAGGTTAAAGCTGAACCACCCAGAGAAACGAGGGGCCGGGCTTTCAGGGGACTTTCCGACCTCTGCGGAACCCTCTCTGCTCCCTGCATTGCATACAGTGGTTTCCGATTATCTTGGCTTGTCCAGGTCAGCCCTGGCTCATACCTGTTGTCCTGATGTAATTAAGAGCTTCCCATATAAAATAGATGAACAACAAGGACCTACTGTATAGCACAGTGACTATATTTAATTTCTTATAATAACATATAATGGGGAAGATTCTGGAAAAGAAAGTATATATGTGTAACTAAATTGCTTTGCTGTACACCTGAAACTAACATTGTAAATCAATCACACTTCAATAAAAAAACAAAATTTAAAAAAAAAGAGCTTCTCCCTTTCACTCGTCAAAATATCATAATCTGCATGATGAATTATAAGGTCACCCTAGTAAAGAAACCATCATTTTTAGATCATGGAGCCGGAGCTGCATGGGAATCTCAGGATTCTGGGGCTGTGGTTGTCATACGGTAACCAAGACCAGTGAAGGACTTGACTGTTGACAATGTGCTTCCACACATACGCTCTCATTTGATCTGCAAAACAACCTTGCATAATGGAACAGGCTGTGTCAGTATTGTCATTTAGGGCCCAGCGAGATGAGGTGACTTGCCCAGGATTGCACAGCTTGTAAGTGGTGGAGTGGAACTCAGGGCTTTGGTTTTCCCAAAGCTGGGCTTCTGCCAGTTGTGTCCCACAATCAGAACACGCTGGCTCCCGAAGCAGAGTGAAAGTTGGACTCTAGTAGTTTGTATTGCCAGTTTCTTCAGAGCCTGGAAAGAGGAACTCTTCAACAGGAAGTAATTCAGCCTGACCTCGTCAGCCGATCACACCCCTGGGGTGCTGGCAGGCTTACAGGGAGTGGGGCTGGTTTCTGAAAGGACCCCATTCATACCTTCTGCTTCTCTACTGGTCCTTGGTGGAAACTCCGTTCCTTTATCAGCATCCTTTTCCCCAGCCTGGGGCTATCCTGGAGGTCTGTGTGACCCTCGCAGGCAAGGGAGGCCTCACTTCCTCCAGCCCCACTCCCTCTAACCCCCTTGCCAGTTCAGAAAAAGAAATTCAGCCTAAGGGTGGAAGCAAAGCAGAGGAACACAAAGCTTCCCCCCAGGCTTCTCCTCCTCTGTCCCTCGAGCTGGGTGGCCCTATCACTTCACCCTCAGGGTCAGTTTAGACCTTGGCCATCAGCATCTGATGTTAAAAGAACTGCATAAAAGGAGGGATTGCTTTGCATCCAAATCCTCTGCCTGTGAATAAATATTTTATTCCCTCTCTGCGACTCTTTATGCATGCCTCGAGGCAAATACATTTTAACATCTGAAAAAAATTCTGTCTGGAGCAAAAATTTTCACATCCCCAACTCTGCACGAATTTCCTATAAGAGAATTTTTGCGTGAGTTCTCTATGGAAGCAAGCCCTATTACCTATCCCCACACCCACCCCAAATTCAAGTTATTTATTCAGCAAGCAGGAGAGACTGAGGGCCATAGGTCTGAGGGAAGGATGATTGGGTAACACAGGGCAAGAACTGTGGAGCAGGCCGGCAGCCACTTGGCACACTCGAAGTGGCTTGAGGCACAGAGCACAGACTTGGCAGAGCCACGTGGAGACCAGTGAGTTCCCCCGCTGCCTCTGTCCTTGCATCGCTCGTGCTGCCTCCCGGACAAGCACAGTCTTGCTCGGGACTCTGACTTTTCTGGTGGTGTCCTGAGAATTTCCTCCGCCAGACATCCCAGTTGCAACTTGCCTCACATCTCCACGCCAATCCCAGTAGGGAGAATAAACTAATTTCTTTGTGGTCTCAGCCTGATTTTAATTGACTGTGATACCAATTAGGTGTTGGGGAAATCTGTCATCTCCTAGAGGAACTAAACTCAAAGGAGGGCTGAAGCAGCCTATTGAAGGGGCCGGGAAAAGGGCACCCCAGAAAGGATTCTTCCCGCTAACCCGCATCTCTTTATTGTCTTGCAGAAATCAGGAATGGCAACCTCAAGGCCATTCTAGGCCTCTTCTTCAGCCTCTCCCGGTACAAACAGCAGCAGCAACAGCCCCAGCCCCAGAAGCAGCACCTCTCCTCACCGCTGCCGCCCGCTGGGTCCCAGGCGGCCGGGGCCCCCTTGCAGTGCCAGGCTGGCACTCCCCAGCAACAGGTGCCAGCCACCCCTCACGCCCCGGGCCAGCCTCACCAGCCAGCGCCACATCAGCAGTCAAAAGCACAAGCGGAGATGCAGTCCAGGTGGGCTCCTCGCCAGCTGAGAGTTCTGCTTTTCCAGGGGTCTTCTGCCCCGCTGACCACACTCTAGCCCGCACTGAGCATGTTTTTCATTTGTGCTTCCTTGGTGCTGAGGACTTCTGGTCGTTTGTGGGGAATGAGCGTGACCTTGAAGTGGATGGATGCGCCTGGTGGAGATGTGTCCTTTTCTAGATCAGAATCGCCAGCAGCCAAAGCTAATTAGCTGCTCCTGCCTTAACTCTGCCCTATTACACATACATATGCTCGTAGGCAATAAACAGCCCCTAAAATAGACTTCAGACTTCTTCTGCATGTCTGCCTCCAAGCTGGGTGTTCAGTGTTATATGTGCAAGTAATTTCACTGACTGGAGGCAAAAGTTCTCCAGCAGATGCCTCTGCTTTGCTAGAGGAGAAATGCAGAAGAAAGATGGCAAGGAGTTTTTAGCGGGGAAAGAGGTAGCCCCCTTCCCTGTGAGGGCCGACATCCCCTGATGGGAGCAGTTATCATTAAAACGTGACTGAGTTTTGCTGACCTTAGAAACTGAGTAGTGGTGTCAGCTGTGATCCTCTGCTTTTTAGGTTAGGGCCTCGGTTTTGTTGATGTTTCTAGAGGGACCGACCTTGCCAGTTGGACTCACTGTAGAACAGTACACCAGATACACCAATAGAACACCAGGGCAGTTGCCATCTACCCTGTCATGATGCGAATAGTTGCATTCCTTAGCAACTCTGTGAAAGATCACCTTGTAACATATTTGTTCTAATGACAGAAAAAAAGGAGGGGATGAGGAACTAGAAAGTTTTTGATTCATAGGGAAGTTCTGGAGAAAAGCCCATAATAATTATTTTTCAAGTCATAAACCTTTAGCTATCAAACCTAAATGTCACTGATCAACTTGATTGCTTGGTTTCATTTCATATACATAAAGAGAAATAACTTTTTCTTTCCAGTCCCCCAAAGCCTTGGCATTAGTAATCATAACGTTTCTCACTTACCTTCACCCTTGGTAGCCCGTTGTAGTTGGGCAGAGTGGTTCAAATAAAGTAGTTGCCTTACAGATGGTTACAGCTTTTCTCCCCATGAGAACTGCTGTTCCCCAGTTGTGATGGTGTTAAAACCAGCAGTGATAGATATGATGTAAATCAGTCTCCCTAATTATCTAATTATATCCAATTCACATTATGGAAACTAGTGTGTGGGCTAGTAGAGGTGCCTAGACCAGCAATAAGGAATAGACAGCCAGGCAGCCAGCCTCTGCCCCTTTGCCCTGAAGAACCGCCTGGGTGGGAGCCATTCTCTGGTGAGAGAGGTCCCCTTCCTGATGGACTGGGATGACTGAATGATCAGAACGCCATCCCCCACACTGCATTCTGCAGAGGGCTTATTCCCTGGATAGTGACTTGCAGGGAAAGGCTTCTCTGGGGGAAACATTGGGAAATAATCTGGGTTCAGTTGTTCTAACTGTTACTTCAGGAAACTACTGAGATCCTGGAATCTGCCAATATGCATTCATTTATACATTTAGTGTTTGAATGCCTTCTGTGTGCCAGACACTGTTCTAGGTACTTGGGGGTCAAGGCGAAATGAGATATCTAAGGTGCCTGCTCTGGCATTCTACTGGAGGAGGCAGGCAAATGAAAGGGAAAGAGACATATCAGATAGTGGTGCTGTAATCAGATGATGAGATTCAGAGGGATTGGGTTAATAACTTAGGTTGGATTGGTAGGAAGGTTTCTTTGAGGACATGACACCAAAGTGGAACTATGAATGACTAGGAGCTAGCCAGGCAGGTGTGGAATAGATGAGGCAGAGGGAGCAGCTGGTGCAAAGGCTTGTGTGGTGGGAGTAAGCTTGGCAGGTTGGAGGAGCAGAAAGAAGGCTAATGTGGCTGGAGTTCAGTGGGTAAAGGGAAGTGGGAAGTGCAAGCAAAGAGGGCTGCCACCACTTACATGGGAGACAGTGTGAGTGGTGTCCTCTGAAGTTGTGTAGCCCTGAAGCCAGGTCACAGAGAGACAATTAAACTGGGTAAAGAGTTCATATTTCATCCTAAAGCTAACAGGAAGCCATTGGAGAGTCTTGAGCAGGAGAGAGACTTGATTTGATTTACAGTTTTTTTTTTTTAAAAAAGTCACCTTTGCTCCTCTCTGGAGAATAAGACTATGGAGGAGCAAGAACAGAAGGGAGGGCCCAGCTCAGAGGCTTCTGTGGTCCTCTTGATGACAGTGGCTTAGATCAAGGTGGTAGAGCAGATACAGAGATGGCCCAGTTCTGGGCCATTTTGGAGGATGAGCCAACAGGACTACAGGTAGATTGACTCTCTGGAATGAGGGAGAGGAATCACAGGTAAAGGTTAGATTTCTGGCTTGAGCAGCTAGGAAAATGGTGATATTTATTAAGATAACAAAGCTAGGGGAAGGAACATGTGTGCACAGAGGAGGGCATAGGAAGCATTCTCAAACTCAGCCACAGAACTCTTCTTGTTTTATAGAGCATCTCATTGCATAGGGTTTCCAGGAACATGTGTTGAGAAAACTCTGGGCTTATGTAACTGGGCTGTGCCAGCCTGAGACATCCATTTCCATGGGAAGCATTTGTCTTCTGAAAAGAACCAGATGTTCCATTCAGGACACCCATCTCCCAGTAAGAAAAAACATCCTACCATTAGTAAATGCTTTATCTAAAGATGAGCCAAGCTCATTTAAGCCAGCTTTTTAGATCCATTTATTCCAGAGTAGTTTCTGCCATCGTGGCGCCCCACTCTGTAATGTGGAGACAAATTTTGGAGTTACTGTATGTCCTTATTCATCCTTTATTTGGCTCAGATTGGGTTCCTTCTGCAAATGACTGGTTTTATCCATTATATACTAATACTTTCTAATTTTATTTCCAGAGAATATCTTGTTCTCAAGGTCTAGAAATACGATACCCCATGCTGATGCTCTGGCTGTAAATTTAAGAATAGTAAAATAGCTTCACTGGCTTAGTTCTATTGTATTTCTCTTCTCAAATTCTGACAAAGTCCCGAGGGTAGTGATTCAGACCCTTGATCATCAATGTCAAATGTTGACACAACACCCAAATACCAGGTTGATGTTGCCCCTCCCTTAGAACTCTGCCAGATATGAACACACCTCAGTACCGTACCTCTTGGGATAGCAAATATTAAAACTTGGCAACTTTTCCATAATGTGTGTTAATGAAGCAGTTGGGGAATCTGAGCAAGGAAATTGGAGACATTGGCATGAAGGAATCAGAGCAGCTTCTCTTAACTTCAGCTCTTCTCAGTAACTTACGTGATGGCTGAGAACTTGACCCACACTCCACCTCGTGAAATTCTTCCCCATCTATGTCTACCTTACATATTATCAGTATTTAGCTTTTTAGGAAAAATCCAGAAAATTGCTTTTTAAAAAAAATTCATTCTCTTTTGTCTCTTTCTCCACTTCCTAACATTGCATTCCTCATCTCAGATCCTTTTATGGACATGGTATAGTATATATGGATGCAAGAAAGATAAATATTTCTATCTTTCATAAGGTAGTAAATAAATTTAACTTTTTTGTGAAGTCTAACCATGATTCTTCATATTTATAAATTTATGGCTCAAAGCCCAGAATTTAGCAAGTTCAGAAGACTTTAAGACATTCCCAAGACCAGCAAACCTTGCAAGCATCTCCACCCTTTTTTGGGGGGCAACTTTATGGGATATTCAGGATATCAATGGAAAAAGCACCCTGGTAGAACAAGCATGTGAAATCAAAGCTTCTAAATATGTTGGAAAGGCAGAAGTGTAGTCGTCAGAGACCCCCGGCTTCAGCATCTTATTATGGAAGAAGGGCCTTATAGTGACTGATAGCAGAGAAGACATTTGGAATTAAAAGAAAAAGAAAGTCACACAAGTTCTTAGATAATCTTGATAGCAATTTCTCCACAGTGGAGATTTATCAAATCAGAGAAGTCAGACCTAGAAAGCAAGCTGAATGTTGTGGAAAAAGTGGGCGGAGGGAACCCCGGAGCTGGTCCCATTGTAACAGGACTCTTGGTTATTTACTTGTGTGTCTAATGCATCTTCTCTCCCCTCACTCACCTCTTCCACTTTTTTCTTTCCTATCATGCAGTGCATCATCCAAGGACTCATCACAAAGCAAAATCATCCGCTTCACTCTCGGTCAGAAAAAGATCTCTAGGTTAGACTTTCTTCACACCCTGCAAAGCATGGTTTCAACCCAACTCCTCCTGCCCTTTGTTCTGGCTGCATTTCCTTTTGGTCCCTCTCCCTGTGTCATGTTTGCAGTTTGGGAAAACCCAACATGCTTTGGCTGATGACCCAATGTTGGAAAGTCGAGGGTGGCCGCAGGGTTGTTGAGGGTGGGGGGCATGCGTGTGTGTGTGACAGAGAGAGAGAGATTGAGTGTAAGTGAGGTTGAGTTGTGTGTGAGGTTTCTGCATTTCATTGATTTTTGTCTTTGATTGCTGGGGTGTCAAAGTCCATTCTGATTTGTAGAGAGCTGAGTTTCTAGGTGGTTTTCCACAGTGGTTTTATGATGACTTTGGCTCCCTGCTCTGTCCTGGCCCAATCCCACCTCACCTGCATCTCATTTCTGTGTGTGATGTTTTTTGTTATTGTTGCTGTTGCTAAATTACTAATGTGAGATTAGTTTTTCTCTTGAGTTTTAAAGACCTGAAGCATGAATCCGATTATTCAGAGGGGACAAAGCAATAAGGCAGCTCTGTCTTATTTTTATTTCTGGATGCTCTTGTGTACCGTGGAGGGATCACTCCAGTTTCCTGAAAATAAAAATTAGGACTGCTCACTAATTAATTCTCTTGACTCAGAGTTTGGCATCTGCTGCATCCTCTGAGGACCCATTCCAGGGAATGGGAAATGGCAGTTACATCCTTGTAGCTACTGTTGTTCTAAAGGTATCGACAGCTAACATTTATTAAATGCTTATCATGCACCAGTTTGAATACATTATCTTATTTAATCTTCACATCAGCCTTCTTGCAGTAGGGCATGTTATTATCCCCATTTTACAGATGAGCAAACTAAAACTTAAGTTCGGTAAGTTACTAAAGTCACACAGAAAGTGGAAAAACCCAAATTTGAGACCGGGTAATCAGAACCCTCTCTTTAACCACTGTGTTACTCTCTCCCCTCCTCCTCCTCCTTGAATTCTGGTCTTGATGTGGTTGTTGAGGCTGCTTTTTAAAATCTCAGGCTTCAACCATTTCTCCTGGCCTTTTGCCTCCCATTGCCTTGTGGTGTCCTGGCAGAGATGAAATCTCCTCTGCATTACGGCTGGTATTTCTTTTTCGTCAAACTCTCACTTAAAGCTAAAGGGATGCCCACACTGCATCCCTCTCTGTATTTGCGTCACAAATATGGAACCCACTCTCTTAGGCTCTGAGTGGGTACCTTTTCTAATCAGAGTTAACTTTTTAAAAAAGCTTATGCAGGGGGAGGCCCGACTCAGGATCTTCCTGGCTGGGGGGAGACGCCACAGGGCGGTTGCTTCTCTGTAGAACAAGTCAGCATGTTACCCAGGCTTGGTTCTGCATCTCATAGCCACATGTCTTAGCCAGCTCTGGTTGCTGTAACACATCACCATAGAGCAAGTGACTTAACAGAAATTCACTTCTTGCAGTTCTGGAGACTGAGAAATCCGAGGTCAGGGTGCCAGCGCGGTCGGGTTCTGATGAGAGGCCTCTTGCCGATTTACAGATGGCCGTGTCCCTGCGGTGTCCTCACAGGGTGGAGAGCAGGGAGAAAGCGGGCTCTCCTGCCTCTCTTCTGAGGCACTCATCCCATCACGAGGGCTCCACTTTTGTGACCTAATTACCTCCCAGTGACCCCATCTCCAGATACCGTCACATTGGGGTGACAACATATGAATTTGCAGAGCGGGAGACACAGAGAGCCCATAGCACCGTGCTGGAGAGTGACTGCTTTCCCTGACAGCACAGGCCCAAGTCAGACAGACCCCCGCTGCACTGGTAAAGTGGGTCCCCCCCCTTTTTTCTTTTTTGAGCATCATGCAATGTCCATACATAGGAAAGGAAGTGGGGGTGGGGAGCTTGGCAGAAACCTGCAGTCTGGTGTTTGTTCCCACGATGCCAAGTTCTGGGAGAGAGAGAGAAAACAGGAGCTGGCTGAGGAAGTATCTAATTGGAAGCACATGCCCATCCGGTGAATGATCTGTTATCAGTCCCAGATGATGGAGGAGGAGGTGGGGGGGTGGTGGGAATGGGAAGAGAGGAAGAACTGAAGGATGAGGGTGTGTCTGCCCTGCCCTGGGGGCATGCTGGGCATGGGCTTCCGAGGTGACCGAAGCCAAGGTCTGGCTTTCTGTCAGGGTCTTATCCCTCACCTAGGATTTCTTTTGGACGCATTGTTTCTGATGAGCCCAATAAAGGGATGTTCTTCATTTTATTATTTGCCTAACACTCATCCTTGCCTTACCTTCACCCCACTTCCCCGCCCTTAGCCTTGAGCACAATCTTGATAAGCATTTTAGCTGATCAGGCACCACCAAAAGTAGCAGTAAAGTCTGGTTGCCAAAAAAAAAAACAGCCCTACCCTCTGGCTGAGTAGGACACCTCTCCCAGAGCACCAGAAATAGGTCTCTTGTTCAGGTGCAGACATTGATTGAACATCTGCTGGAGCCAAACACCTTGACAGGCAGCAGGAATGTTGAACCAGGTGGGAAGCCTCACCCTTGAGTCTCACTACAGGGAAGGGGCTTATGGAGGGAACGGGTGCAGGGTTGAAGGATTTCTGTGAATTTCTGCCTTTGACCACGATATCGCCTCTGGGCATCCCTGGTGAGCCTCAGGTATTTAGGCTCATTCTGCCTGTGGGAGGTAGTGAAGCATAGTGATTAAGCTTTGCAGTCAAACCTAGCAAACCTGGTTTTCACCACGTACTATGTTATCCAGGCCAATTATCTAATTTCCATGAGCCTGTGTTTCCGTATTGGTAAAATGGGGTAATCCTGCCTTCTCACAGCGCTATGTGGATTAAATAAAGTCACTTCAGTCCTTGACTACCTGGCATGTAATCAGTGCACCATAAATAGCTGATACAGTGATGTTGGTGGTTTGGGTTGATCTGGGCCAACTCTAGCAAGTCCCACAGAGTTGATCTCAGCAGGACCATCTCGCAGAGAGGAGTCATTGCCACTCGTAGTTTGGTCCTCTCCACCCAGCCGCTGAAAAGCAGATGCCACAGAGATGAGAGATTTAGCATTTAATCATCTTGTCTCCAAAAGCAGCTCTGATTATGACCTCTAACCCACCGAGGTCCTGAGCATGTGCACACAAGCTGCCTTCCTTCCTGGGAGGGCCATCTTCTCCCGGCCTTTGAAGTGGTTTTAGGGAGAAGAACCGCTTTCTCCCCATCAGCACGTACAGCACATGGTGCCGGGATGCAGGCGCAGGTTACGTGCCAAGAGTGACAGCCTTCCTTCCCCTGCCTGCTCCACTGCACACATGCTGGAGAAGTTGATCGTGGTTCCCAGGGCTGCAGGATTTTTCTGCCTTCTCTTAATTACACCTCTTCCCTTAAACTTCATTTCTTTAAAAAAGCAACGTGTGTGTGTATCATAGAACCCACCCGTGTCCTCTGTCATTTTGTAACTGTTGTCTGAATATGGAATGATTGTGGGCAGCAGAGTTCCTCTTGCAAAGGAGCTGTCGGAACCTACTGGGCTACTGGCGCTCTGAATGTAGCAGGGTGTAAATGATTGGAGGTTGACTTGCCGCATTCCTCTCTGGCTACTTTTTCTCAGTGAGGCAGGCATCAGGGGCAGCATCTGTTGTGGTACCTGCAGCTGTTCCACAGGAGCAGGACCCAGCTCTGCAGCAGAGAAGAATTCTAATATACAGACAGCAGCTGTCTTCCAGGCTGGGGCTTGAAAGAAGTTCTCCCGATGCACAAGGGTGTTAGCAATAATGAACTTCAAGATGTTAGCCAAGGGCCTGTGTCACTATAAACTGGAAGATCCTCTGCCTCCCTGATGAATGCCTCATTGCTGGAGGACAGGACCAAGTCCCAGATTCATAGAGTGACTTTTGAAGCTGGCCCCTCCTGCTTTTCCAGCCTCATTTCCTTCCACGCTGTCCCCCAGGCCCCAGTACATGCTACCTCTTTCTTTCCTCTGTGCTCTTTTTTTCTGTTTGTTTTTGCAAACTTCCCTCTGCATGACCCCTCTGCCACCCTGCCTTCTTGCCCCCGGCTGACATTCATTCTGTTATCTAGAAAAGGGAAATAAGAATTACCTTGGTTCTTTGTCACCCGAAAAAAAGATTTTTGACGAGAAACAGGAGAAAGCGTGATAAGCAAATTTTATCAGTGGAGTAAACAAGATAGTGAAAGATAGTACACTCCTGAGAACGGGAGCGGGCCAGTCCAAAAGAGGAAGACTGGCGCTGCTCTCTTTCCTCCTGTTTTTATATCCTGGTTTCATGGTTGATTGATTAACTGATTGATTCCCTGTGCTCTGGTTAATTGACAGCTCAGGTTCCTTGTGTTCTGGATTGTTCCTTTCCCCTTCCTCTCCCCCTGGCCAGTACTCATTTCTATCTAAACTACCTAACAATTCCACATGCCACATTGTGCTCTGGGGTGGCTTTTATTTGGAACCTTCCCTGAACATCTCACCAACCTCCCAATGTCATCATTTTCCTTCTTTGAATTACTTCTGACCTTTCATATATTTTATCAGCACATGTGTAATTAAGATGCCAGCTAGGGTCAATCTGCCCCTGAAGATCTAGATAAGGTTGAGCTAGAACCCTGTGGTCGTCCGTTGGGGCTGCCGTCTAAAACACCACAGATTGGGTGACTTACAGGCAACAGAAATTTATTGTTCCCAGTTCTGGAGGCTGGAAGTCCAAGACTGAGGTGCTAGCATGGTCAGATTCTGGTGAAGGCCCTCTTGCAGGTTGCAGACTGCCGACTTCTCACTGCGTCCTCACATGGTGGAAGAGGCGAGCTCGCCCTCTGGATCCTCATTTATAAGGGCATTAATCTCATTCATGAGGGTTCTGCCTCATGACCTCATCACCTCCTAAAGGTCCCACATCCTAATACCATCACGTTGGGCCTTACGATTTCAACATACGAACTGGAGTAAGGAGGGACTCAAAAACACAAACATAGCACATCACTCCTTCAATTTGTGAGGTCCAGTCCCCTTCCCAGGATTGCTCAGGTATCTTAGGATCTCATGGTCACCTTTGGCTTTGAAATCCTGGATTTACAATTCAGTCGGTTAACTCAGATTGTGGATGGACTCATCCATCTCAAGGAGTGTTTTGGTTCCCTCATGGGTGGGTCCAAATTAAGCTTTTTTCCTTACACCCACCACACATTCATTCATGGCCTTTGTTTGTGAGGCTGACTCTGCTGAAAACTTCAAAGGGATGGAGGGTTCTTGCTTGGGAGGAAGCAAGTGTCCAACCCCATTCACAAAAGAACCCAAGTTTTAAAGCACAGTGTTGATGTAGATTCCTTCCGACACTTGGAAGAAGTTGTCCATCCAGTTTTCCCATTCAGTCCAGTTAAGGGTGCTGTCCTTACTAGGGTGTAATGGTGATGAGGTAGAGGGTGACATGAGTTGGCATGAGCTTTATGGTGGCTTTTGATAGCTAGGTATTTGCCAACCATGTCAGCTGCCCTCAAGGCCCTCAAGACCGCTTCTTCCATTTCTTGGGAAACTTGGTACCACCTGTAACCATTTGAAGGATGAGTCACTCCCATCAAAGGAGCACCTCTAGGTCCTGACTTGGGGAAGAGGATCCAGTGGTGACCACCCCTGGGAAACCAGTGCTGTGTCAGTTAATCTAAGACTGAGGATGTGTCCCTCTGGGGAGTGGGGCCCACAGATGGCTTGGAGGTACCCCCCAGGAGAAGATCTTCTTCATAGCTACTTGGATGAAGCAGTTTTTCTTCTCGAATGTTCCTTTGGGAGATGATGAATCGTGTCTGCCAAAGCCTGTCTTGCCTCTTTGGAAATGTTGATGTCTGACTCTTGTGTGTTGACTTTTTTCCAGCTCTCTTCTGCTTCTTGAACCTAAATCCATCCATTTCCTTTCTTATTTGTCTGATTCTTTGTGCTATCGTAGCATGTTTTCTTTATGACAATGTCCAATTTCTTTATGAATCTATGCTCAGCAGAGAGGATGGGAAGGGAAACCAGCATGCATCGAGTACTTACAACAGGCTGGACATTAAGTGCCATTTCAAGGTTATACCCACTGGGTGTACTTATTATTATTCTGAAGTTACAGATCCGGAACATGAATCTCACATTATCAGACTAGTCCAATACATAGAGAAAAATCCATATTCTATCCATTGTACCACAATGCATCACGGAGGACCAGGTTGCCTACCTCATTCAAGGTTGTGCCCATTCCATCCAGCACTTTGATTTCTTGCCCCTATAAAGGCCCTGTGCTGCCCTAAAAAAAATCTGTGGTCCATTCCCAGGTCAGGGCAGGGGGGCCTCTATAGCAACTCTGAAAGGAATGCATCTTCTCCCTCCTCGTTGCTTTTGGCTTCCCTGTTCTTTGCCAATTCCCCACTGATGCAGACTGCTGTGACCTGTATTACCCTGCACCACTTAAAACTGTTGCTGTGACATCATCTTGGAACAAGTCCATAATCCTTTCCCAGGCCTATCTGTGGGCATAAAGACTCCTGCAGAGTCCAGCCTGAAGGAGCCCCATGTTTGCACCTGCAACAGCTCTGCCACTGGCTGAGTCCTCAAATAACAGTGTCCATCTTGGAGGGCTTGCAGGATGCTGTTTGCATGGGAAGCAGAACCAAGAGGTACCAAGATCCCACTGCTGGATAGAGCTCCTTGATGAGTTGAGCTGGCTGCCTCTGGTCCCCAAACGCAGGGACTGGCGCTGCTGATTTTGCACCCTACTCTGTGCCTGTCTTCATGGGGCGACCATCTTTTCCAAACCAGATGGTTAACAGCGGCAAATCCTCCAAGTGAGGTGGGAGGTGAGGCCTTCCCTCTGCCACTTTTTGGGGAAGAACTCACCCCCTTCCTTCTCTGCTAGCTCCCAGTTAAGGAATTGGGCCAGCTTCTTCTTAACTGTATAAATTTTACAGTCCTCTCACACCAGCTCGTGTTCCCTGTTTACTCTACAACCATCTTTCTTGCTCAGCCAACAAGAAAAAGTTTAAAGTGTTCGCCTGCTTATATCTGCTTCCAGACTGCAGACTTCTTTGGTACTTACAGATTTGTGTGGAAAGAGAAGGCTGAAAGCTTTATGAGTTGAAAATTCAGACTTATCACTAGATCTAATGCTAGTCAGCTGAGGTTCCAGTGGCTTTAAAACACAGCTAAGTTGGTTTTAGCTGAAAGATATAACTAAATATTTCGTCATTTATTCATCTTTCAACTTTAATGATTGGAAACAGTCCTCTTAGTAGTCCCTGAACCAAAATTCTGATTTGGGGAGTCTTACCCTTAAGTCTTTCGGGAATAGGCCATAATTCTTCAGACACATTACCAGAAATTAGTCTGCTGACTTTATTTCCCAAACCACCCCAAAATGAAGTGTTCTATTTAAAGAGAAAGTGTGTGTTTGTCTTTAGACTAACAGATTCCTGCTCATTTTACAGAAAAAATGCATGATTTTATCCATCTCCGGTGCAGAGAACCTGGGCTTCAGACTTAGAGCAGTGTCTATGGAGACAGGCTGTCAGGTGTCGAAGGAAAATGAATGTCTGAACAAGTGTTTCCATCCAGGCCATAAGTTTTCATTGCAGATGGCTTGGGTTCTGAGGTAGCAGCTCCCTTTCTGATCATGATAAATTAGGTCTTTTTCTTGATGCTTACATCCCCTAGATTATGGTGAAAACCATTTTTAGTACCTACCAGAAGAGATGCCCATACACAGTAAACAGTTTAGAGTCTTGACAAGCCTTTACGTTCCACCCTTGATAGAATTAGAGGCGACGTGGTTTGGCCCTCTTGAAAAGTAAAATTACTCATCCAAGAGAAGAAGGAAGATGAGCTTTGTGTTTTTTAAGTCAGCAAACACATTCATATGCTTTTCCTTCAAAATTCCTCTCTCTGCTCAAAGGAAAATTGCTCGTGCTTTGCTCTTGGACTTACTGGGGTTATTGCTAGCCTAGATGTTTGTGGCGGTTGCACTAAATCCTCGGGCTGGTAGACCTCCACAGACCCGATGTCCTGCATGGCTGCGGTTCCTTCTTCTGAGACAATTGCTGTTCTGAGACTGAAGCTGTTACTCTGTTGCTTTTGCATTTTAGACTTCCAGGTCCTACCGCGAGGGTATCCGCTGCGGGCAGCGAGGCCAAAACACGCGGAGGGTCAGCTGCTGCTAACAACCGGCGGAGCCAGAGCTTTAACAACTATGACAAGTCCAAACCGGTCACCTCCCCTCCCCCACCACCACCAACAAGCAGCCACGAAAAAGGTAAGCCACCTTCTTGGGATTCCTTTCTGGCTTCTTTTATAGCAGATCCAGTTCCTCTGGGTGAATGTGGGGTTGTAAATAGAGTGATGGGCATGGGTCACACAGACCTGCTTGGCTGGTGGGAACTTTGTTAGCAGAGGTGTTAATGAAGTGGGGGAAATACTGTCATCTTCACAGTTGCCAGCTGAAATAGCTGTGTTTGTCTGTGTGGGGCCCGGAAGACACACAGAAGCAATATAGCATTTGGAATTTGAAAATAAACTTTCATAGAACGTGCTCTATGCAGTGGGTGGTTTTCTAGAAATGCAAGCTGCTTGGGGTGTGAATTTTGTGAGCTGATAAGGTTTTCTACCCATCAGAAGTGATGTGAGGGGAGATAGGAACACGGGGGTTTTCACTCTTTGAAATAGTCAGATATGTGAGTTGGCTAAATGAATATCTTGGCTACACATAAGTAGGCAGCATTCCTCTTGGTGTTCTGATAATGTAACTTTTACCAAAAAAGGATATGATTTTTAACTATGCGTAGTGCTAAGCTTTTAGGTTGGGGAAAAAGGTAAGTAGCCCTGTGGGGACTCTGGCACAGAAAGGAGGAGAACAAACCTTTGCTTGCAGCAGTCTCTGTCCATGATTCATGGGTGACGTAGAGAAACTGAGACAGCCTAGAAGACTCTTCAGTAATAGGCAGAGCTCTCCTTTATTCCTCCCAGGCAAAGTGGTCTCGACTTCTCAGGGGGACATGCCCAGGTCTCTGGGAAGCATTTCGTGCCTGGTAGTGTGGAAGCTTCCTAGGGCTTGTCCTGGATGTACCCCCCTCCTCCCCTGGGACCAAGGAGAGCTGCCTCCTGCTCCCCAAAGTGCTCCGGGAGACTGGGCGGCCCTCTCACCATGAATAAGATCAGAACCTCCTTCACCCACCTCTCCAGCTCAGGATAACTTGGTCCAATGGAACTGAGCTTCCCACAGCCCCCACCCCATCCCCACCTAATATACTGCAGGAAATAGGAAGGACATTTGTGTCGGGCTGACATATACGTGGCAGAAGGTTTCCCAGGCGAAGCGTTCGCAACTCTGCAACTAGCACCAAAGCTATAACCAGAATGTCTCAACCAGTCAAGACTCTGATCTAGCCTTTGGCTTCTGCCTCAAACAAATTCTTTTTCTCCTTCTCTCTCTTTTCTCCCCTCCCTTCCCATCTCTTCCATTCCTTTCCTTTTCGTCACCATACCCAAGTGTGTTCTTTTTAAATGTGTGTTTAAATTACCAAAGTAGTAAATGCTTGTGAAGTGGTATAAGTTTATATCAAATGAAAGTTCTCTCCATGCTCCCTGAAGAATACTAATATAAACCATCCTATGCATATCCTTCCAGAACTTTCACGGTACGTTTATGTATATAAATAATATATATGGAAGAGCTATTTGTTGAGTACCTACTATGTGCCTCATTGAATTCCCCCAGACAAACTGCGTTGCTATCTACATTTTACAAGGGATGAAGCGAGGTGAAGTCCTTGCCGAGGTCACACCAGAGGCAGTGAGAGGTGGAGTTGGGGCTCAGCCCAGGCACTTTGGGTCCAGAGCCACAGTTAATGCTGTGCTTTTCCTGGCAGTGGAACAGCCATACTCACAGCTGAGCTAGTTAGAGATGTGCAGGTGAAGGAGAGAGGGGAGTGGAGAGGGTGTAGGGGAAGCCTGCGCAGGGCCCTCTGTTGGGCAGCCCGCCCCTTTCCCATTGTCCTTTAGAGAGATGCTGTCATTAAAAACGTCTGAAGGATGGCTGTGAGGCCAGTGTCCAAAGGATTGAGAAAATGAAGACAAGGTTCCTTGTTGCTGCAACGGATGTGGTTCGAGGAAGCAGGGTTGCTGGCTGGACCTGTGTCTCAGAACAAAACATAGGTGCAGGGTCACCCACGCAGCCCCGCCAGGGGTTCCCTGTCAGGGCTCGGGCAGCCACCGGTCTGCCTCCGTCCTGGGCAGCGGTTGTCACGGGTGCCCCAAGCAGACAGGGGGCCGAAGGCCTCTAAGAGAACAGGGGCTGTGAATTCTGAGAGAGGCATCGCTCAAGGGACAGGCTTCAGTGTCAGAAGAGAGGGAGCTGGTACTTAATCGCTGAGCGCGTTGGACTTGCCGGGACTCGGACGCTCGCTGTACTTCCTGAGCTCCACACACTCCGGGAGGTAAGTATGAACCCGGTTTTACAGATAAAGAAAATGAGGCTAAATGAGAGTTAGTACTTGGCCCTCCCTGGTCAGTGAGTGCAGGTGTGAGTCCCAGATTTGCGCTCTGGCCCTGCCTGTCCCGGGGCTGTCTCTGGGGGAGCAGGTGAGGGAGTACGTGGGGGAACGCTGTGTGAGCCATGACTTGCTCAGAGTCCTCTAAGGACTCTCAGTGATACAGGTAACTGACAGTGGTTCCAGGTGCAGGAGCGGTGAGCCTGTCCCCCTCTCCTACTCCAGGGAGCTGAGGTAAAGCCAGGCTGGCACAGGCCCGGGTGGTTTGTTTTACTAATTCTTTCCCTCCATCCTGAGGTAGAGGGGCCGTGTGATTGTACCTTCAGAGACGTCCGTATTTCCCCCTCCTTTCTTCATGGTCCCTGTGTTCTCCCTTGAGTCTGACCTTGATTGCAGACTGTGGGGTGGCCAGCTTACATGCAAAATATATGTTGTGGTGAGGGAGCAGAAATAACTCAACCACCTGGCCGTGTATAAGACACTACAGGTACTTGGGGGCATAAACTGTCGTCCTTCATCTGGAAAAATCTCGGAGAGAGAACTCTCGTGAGCAGATGAATTGCAGTTCAGTGTGGCTGGTGCCGTGGTTGAGGTGCAGACTGCTTTCGGATGAGGTCAAGTCCATGCTACAGTCTCATTACCTGTCCTTCCTTGATGCTTTCTTGTGAGTCAGTCAGGCCCTGATTATATTGTATTCTGACATTTCATTCTCAGGTAAACCAATTCGTGGGCTTTTTTATGTGACCCAGGAATTTCACTGCTAGGAATTGATCTAGTTACGTCAATAGGTTCCATGAGAATTCCTTACTCTGTCAATAAATGACAAAAAGTATTTTAGCACTTAGTCCCCAGTTTTAAAAAGGATTAAAAGGAAATTGAAACAGGCAACTTTTTAAAAACCCCAGGGCACTTTATACTTTGTGGGGAAATACTGAAACATTCCTCTTAAAATCAAGTCTGAAGAAAAACAAGTCCCCATTTTGGCAGCCTCACTGAATTTAGTTCTGATTATATTGCGCGGTCAACTGGAATGGAAAGCTGAAGAAAAGTGACGGGTAGTACTCCGAAGCTAGGAAACACGGGGGGACTCACAGTTCGTCAGCTCATTCCATAAGGTGATCAAATACATAGTTGATAGACAAAAACCCGGAATGTTCTGTACAGCAATATGACCTGTTAGTTTCCCTAAAGATTCAAATTTCAGATTTTGCAGGTTTGAGGGAAAGTCTGCAGATCCTTAGCTTTTAGGAAAACCTGAGAATTGTTTGCTGTATCATTATGGGATATCATAGTTTTGCTCCAGCTTTGGATTTGTGTTCCTGCAGACAGTGATCAGATTAGAGCCTTGCCCGGCCTGCAGGATGTGTGAGCAGGATTGAAGGCAAAACCTCAGTTAAAAGATGGCTGGGACATCACGGGATGACCAGGACATACTGAGGCCCTTGGCTTCCTCTGGTGGCTCTAAGTGGCTCTAAGCCTCCAGGCCAGAGTCACTGATTATCAGGGGAGAGGAAATGGTTGTCTTTTTCAGCATCTGTGACAGTTATCTGTTTTCTCTTCCTTCCATTCCCTCTCTTACGTCCTCTGAGTGGGTTAACACTGCCAGAAATCTCATGCATTTCTGAACTATTTAGTCCATCATACAAGTTTGAAATGTTTAATATTCCTGGACCGAATTCTAATGGTTTTCATTTTATAGAAGGCACATCTTTATGATATTTTCACTACAATAATAATTATATAAAAATATTCAGACAACACCTAAATTTCTTAAAAGAAAAAGAACCCTACGTAATCCCACTCCCAGATAAAGCCACTGTTTACCACTTGGTTTATATTCTTCTATATGTTTTTTCCATACACAGACTGTCACATTTTGATAAATTTTTCCAAATGTTTACTCTTTGCTAGGAACTATTTCAAGTGCTTTCTAAGTAATAATTTAATTCTTACAGGAGCCTTATGCATATACAGACACTCTCTCTCACATGACATCTTAAATCTCATAAATAAAATGAATAAATCATGGACAGCCTTTTGTACAGGTCATTCTCTCTTCATAAGATAGTTGCATAGTACTCCATTGTATGAATTTACCTTAGTATTTTTAACCACTTTCATTTAATTTGCTTCTAATTTTTTGATATTATAAACAGCACTGAATTGATGTCCTCATGTATCTTTTTTGCACGTATACAACTATTTCAGTGGAATTTCTGCTTTGGAGGGTGTATGCACATTTTACAGCTGTCTAAACAGTGTCAAATTTTGCTCCCAAAAGATTATCCTGATGTATAATTCCTGTCAACAGTGTGTGAGAAGGCTAGTTTCTCTATACACTTGACACTTCTCATTCTCTTGGGCAAATTAACCTTTGTCTTTGAAATGAAGCAAATTATTTTTAAGAGGCTGAAATATCAAGATCATTTGCTAAAAACTGACCTTTTTTATTGACAGTTTGCTGAACATTACAACTCATGACCTTGGCATAATACAAAAGTACTTGGGTTTGAGATCAGGCTCACTCCCACCTGGCATGACTTCTCTCAAGACACTTAACTTCTCCAGACCTCAGTTTCCCCTTCTGTAGAGTGAGTCTGAAGTCCTCTGTCATCAGCCACTGTGGGGTGTGAATGAATTCTTTCCTTTTCACTGGCTGTCTGGTCTTGTCTCATGTGAGCCCCAGCAGCACTTTCTGACGGGTTCCTTTTTCAGATCTTCATGCTCTAGGTCACTTTCTTCCTCTTCGTTCACTGCTGTCTGTCAT